ACAGAATTGGGTTGACTGACAGATGAGTTGTAGAGTCGCTGCCATTGCAGTCGAAGGGAGATCGGAGGGCTAAGTTTCGCACAGGCGCTAGGGTTGAGGGAAGGGCCAAAGCCAACGTCAAATTTTAAACCGAAAAATGCAAACAAAAAGGATATTTATATGACAGCTGCAGGAGGAACTGTTGCAGTTGGTAGCAGTTGAAGAGTGGTCCGGCCGAACAGAAATAACAAAAACAACAGTCACAGAAGCGACAACAACAAACAATAGTGACAACAATACCGGGATTGGGGAATGGGAACGTCAACGGCAATAAAATCAAAAGCATATTTTTCAATCAGCCATTGAATGATAGCAATATTTCGAATAAAATGCCGCATCCATGGCTTGGCCAAGGGGCTAGTTGGGGCTAGTATAGAGAAAGCAGCGAAATGAAGGCTGTCACTGAGATACGCGCACTGCATATTGGAATATTGAATGAAGCACTTAAACGCATTTCATGCCGAACACTCTGACGTCCAAATGCAATTACGCATACGCCACCGTGGCCAGCATCAGTCGCTGTTGATGCCACTGTCCCTACTTCTGCCGCTGCTGCTGCCGCTGCCACCAATTGACACTTTGACGCATAAATCAACTTTATTGTTTATTGATTTTTATGTTTGTGCTATTTTTGTGTCATTTTATTAAATCTTTTCGCGCACATCCCGCTTCCCCCACATGCTGCCATCCCTCTGGCAATGCCTTCCACTTCAATGAACTCATCGTTCGGATCTTGTTTATCATGCGGTCGACCATTTCGTTTATTTGAATTTATGGGTTTTTAATGAAATTGGTTCACAGGGGCCCAGTGGTTGCATCAATCGGCGCGCCATTCCCTCAATATGTTATAGGCATGCTGAACAATTCATAAATCGATTAAAGAATTTTTGCATTTTTTCTGCTCTGGTTTGCATGAAAAATGTCATGTCAATAAATGAAACTGCCTCTGTTGCAGAACATCAGTTACTTATGGACGTATGGAAACATGAGTGAGTGTTTTGTTGATTTAGAGCGTTTTTTTGATTTTGTGAACAAAAAACAAAAAAAAACGTTGTAGAAAGACACCAATGCTGCAGTTGACAGACGAGAAACATTTCCAGTTTTAACACAATTGTAACGCGTCAAATATGGTGTAACTGGAGCGGCAGTTTCTCTCTGTTATTATGAGGCATTGACAATTATTTCGTAATATATTTTCACAATCAAAATCCATTAATAAAAGGTAAATCTTAAGGAAGGTATTCAGTTTTACTACATGCATCTAATAAACACTTTTTATTATTGTAGAATCGCCAGTTGTTTTTTTTTAGTATCAAGGCTAATCAACATTAAATGTAAGGTACATTACCCAAATGGGTTAATGTGACTATAATTTTAAACTATGATTAACCAATTTTATTAGTTTTTGGGAAGTTAAGTGGATCTGTAATACCAATGGTATTGTTTCAATATACTTATAATGTATAATGTGTATGATATTTGTAGAAACATTTCGCCGCTTTCAATTTGCAGCCATTTGGAAAGTTTAAAATGAACATTTAAGTATTTCCACATAGATTTCTGTTTCTTTCACCGAAATCAAAATACCAAAAAGGCCTTGAACTTTACTCATAAGAGTATATTTTTGAATTGAAATTTCTAAACTAAACTAAACTAATTTTGTAATTTAATTTGGTTAAGTTTCCTGTTCAGAAATATAGTGCATTTTTATTGTTGCGGCAACAGCCAGCATAAGAAGACACAGTGGCAACATTATTGAAACGAAATAAAGCTAAATACATATTATTAAAACAAAGGAGGGCAATTCGCATTTATAATTAAACGTCTTGTTTCAATTAAAACAATATATATTAACATACACGTACGAATTTATGTGTGAAAAGAGAAAACAATTTAATTTTCTGTTTAAACATTTTTCAATTAAATGCAACATTTTTGCCTCTTTTATCAATTTTACAAATTTCAACTTATTTTGTGCCATCATTAGTCCTCGTCTTCATCTGCTGCCTTACTAGGACTCGGCGACGGTCCCGTCCTTCCCTGGCCCATTGTCAGTGTCAGATCGTAGCAGTTATTGAAATTGTTTCGAACATTTAACGCCTTCTCTGGGGGGCGTGTCCGTCAACTCTCGCCCCAAACAGTTTTTATTTGATTGTTGCTGAAGGGGATTGCCGATGGCGATGGTTGATGCCATTTTGTTTTTATTGGAAATTCGAGCTTGTCACGTGTCAATACAGCACAGGACACTCGTGGCATCTCATTTAAATTTTAATCTATATTGCCTCTTTGCATCCCATGCCCAGCTTGTTTGAGCAAAAGTTTTTGCATTGACGACGCTGAAACTTTGAGGAATTCCCATTATAAGTATCTCGAAGCTTAACAGTTGGCTTGCTCACTGCTGATATTTAACTTTTTGGGTGACCATGAATACATATTTGAAGCACTTCAACTGCATAAGTTGGCAAAATTGATTGCCGACTTACTATACCCAACAAAATTATTAGACACACCCAACTTGAAACATGCAATGTATTGATTTTAAATTGAGTATATGTGTAAGAATCAAAAAATACCCAACAAAATTATTAGACACACCCAACTTGAAACATGCAATGTATTGATTTTAAATTGAGTATATGTGTAAGAATCAAAAAATATTCTTAAAATATTGTAATAATATTATTATTGTTGTATTCTGTAGCGGTCTACATTGTATATAAGTGTTTCTTAAAACTCCTGTAATTGAAATTTTGTAACCAACTTAACAAAAACATTCGGAGGCTGAATCCCATAATCAGCCTGTTATTTTCAACATTTAGTCTTTGTTTTAAATCTGTCCTAGTAGGTAGAATAGTTATTACATTTTTTCAATCATGCTTCCGTGTTGATGGTTGCGACGTGATTTGAATCGAGCCCAGGAACAAACTCACATTGTCGGATTACTGCGAGCTCATTAAGCTATGCCGGGCCTCTGTTATGTTCAAATGTATTTTTCCCAAATGTGATATCGCCAGCAACCCTAACTACTCAATTAGCTAGCTACTAACTTAACTACTCATGCGAAGTTTAATTAATTAATAATATAATAATAATAATTTATAATTTAATTAATTCAATTCATTCTTCATTCATTCTCGAGACTCCAGAGAAAGACTCAGAAGAAATCAGCAGTAGACTCATCCACTAATTCTTATTCTATAATTATTATTATTTTTATATTTTTAGAGTAAGAGTTTATTTAAATTGATATACTATGTGTATTTAGATTGACATCAAAAACTTGCTTGTCAACCGCGTGGCCTTATCTACAAAAATGTGTAGAATATTTGCCCGTTACTGCCCATACGATTATTTAAACAAAATGGAGTAAAAGTTTGCAATTTTGGCAAACAGACGAATGCTGAAGAACAAATCCAATGCAGCGGTGCATGAAAAGTTAACGAGAATTGATGTTCCATGTTTCGAAACGAAAACAAAGCATAAATTTCTCAGCCAGCTACAGTTGGAGCTCGACTGTATCGATGTCGATGTCGATATTGGCACAACCATGACTGCTCCAAAAGCCCCGGGCGCTGAACGGAGCGCGAAATAAAGCCAAATAGTGAAGCGCGTCGGTGCATAAATTTTCTGTAACGAATTCAATTTGCGTAACGCATGCGGTGGTGTTGCTCCCGTAGCCATTGGCCTCAGTGTTCTGGGACCACGGGTCCGCCGAATTCGCGTTTGAGTTTTCGTTTTAAAGTTTTATTTGCCATACGCTCGCCACTGCGGCTGCCAAGCCGGCTTTGGCTTTGGCTGTGGCTTTTGTATTTGACTTTGCACTGTTTGCAATAAAATCAACAACGCAAATGCAATATTCGCGATTATATTTATCGTATTGCGCATTGTTCAGCGTCAATGCAGAAAGCTGAAGCGGCAGCACTTGACGCACATCGTCATGCCAACCACTGGCGGAGGATAAGCCAAAGAGGGATCCTAAGTCAACTTGCACGCTGACAAGTGTGTTACATGATGCGACACAACTCTGCACGCGGCTGCCATACGCAATCAGAGCCTAATCCGCTTTTGCCCGGTCGCCAGTTCGCTAGCTCGACGCCAGTGCATGTAAATCTGCTCCTTGAGCTGCGGGCACAGTGTGGCGGCGGTGGTGGCAGTCGAGGATTGGCCGACTTGCATAAACACGCTGCGGGGCTCTTCATTTGGTTCGCAGCTGGAGCGGATGCCCCACACAAACCGCCACGACGCACAGTGGTTCTGGATTCAAATCCATCGGTCAAAACTAACAAAGCGTCTTGTAATTTCCGAACTCTGTATATAAGTCGTATATTTTATTGAAATTGTAAGTGTTCGAGTATTTTGGTTTTGGGGAGTCAGTTTGTAACAGTTATGAGCAAGAAGGTAGGCTATAGGAGATTCCAGAATAGGTGACAAGGAAACAAATGTGAATTAAGAGGGATACCTGATATTTGTAATACAAATAAACGCATCATTAAATACTGTACTGTTGATTAGTCATGTATTAACTGATGTCTTTATTTTGTGACTAATCTCAAAAATATTACAACCATATTTTAGTAGAAACTTACACGTACTCGTATATACACAATATTCAAGAATATTAAACCTTTATATCCAACATGGATAATGGCTTGGGCTTCACCAAGCTACGAGTATGAATTTGAATTTATTTAAAATGTTTAAAACATCTTTTTAGTTTATTTCGTTCAGTAGCCATATCGATGCAGTATTTACATATGTACTTGCATATGGCTCGAGGAACACGTCGTTCCTCCTTAATTATTCAAAAAATACTATATCATAGGCAAAGGGAACCGAGGGTGCCTTAAGTCTGAGTCGAAGAAAAGAGAAAGAGGTATACATGAAGAAGCCAAACACTATTTCCTATTTAATAGATACTTAGTGCGTGAAGACATTATATTATATAACAAAATCTGCGCCAATTGAAAATTTTCATTAAATTTAATTTCATTAAAAATTTGAAAGGAGTTATCTCAAACCACAAATAACTTGAAATATTGAAATGCAATGCAAAAACAAGTATTATGTGAATGACTTTTCTGGTTCAAAAGCTACAGTGCTTTTGCATTTCTTTGCTTCCCGCCTCTTATTTCTGCCACCCTCTCTTATCTCTCTTTTTCTGTTTGCATGTTTGTGTGTCTCTTCCTTTTCCAGTTGACGAATTGCAGTTTTAGGCGACGCTGCCATTTTCCGTAGAGTCCGCCTTGACTATTTTCCTTCGACAGTTGCTGATGCAAAGGATAAGGTCACACAGAATCGCATATGCAATCACGTAATTCTTTGTAAAGGAAAACATTTCGGGATATCAGATGCTTACTTGAAACTTATTTGAAAGATAAATCGGTCTGACTGGATGATCGGAATGTGCTGTGCAGACTTTCTCTTTTTCTAGGACACACGAGTATCTTTTATTTTTAATTCAGCTAATCCTTCCAGAACAGAATTCTGTATAATATAGTATGTATTTACATGAGTTTCGTTATAGTATGTATATAAATACTACACAACACACCGCACACACAATTACAAAGAAGGCGCCAATGATGACGCACTCTTTGCAGGATGGCCTGGTTTTTTGACGGGTTCGTGTTGAGGGTCTTTGGTTCCATCCTTCTGTCCGTGTAGGCGGTAGCATCTCTCCTTTTATAAAAAGAATTTGGAGCAATTAATAATTAGACTTCCCATTAATATAGTAAAATACGTGTATATGTATATTAGCTTCTCTGACTGAAATATCTATGAACACATTTGAAAACAAAAATAAAATTTGGATGTCTGAATATTTGAAAAGTACCACAATTGCGATTATTATACTCGTACTTATTAAACAACCAACCATGTAAATCTAAGTTAAACAACATTAATAAGTAAATTACATGAGTAGTATATTTGTAAGAGGTCAGTGTCCAGGAAAAAAAAGTTTGTGTTCTGCTCTGTAGTATATTAAATATACCAAGACACAAAGTAATATCATAAAGGCGGTAATAATAACGCCGTTCCTGAGGGCTGGATGTTTGCCCGAACGCATATTTCTTTGGGATGCTCTAGCTCTAACATCCGGCGAGGACATCGTAGAATGTTGCGCAAGTCGAAGGATTGCAGCAATTATATCAGCTACTGTTTGTAATGAGAATATGAATGAGATGGCGTAGATATCGGCAGTGGTGGGACAACTTACTTGTATTCGTTAAATTGAAAATCATTCCAGCAAATTCTATACAATTTCATATTCCTGGCTGACAAATAAATCGATGCAATATTAAAAGAAGAAAACTTCTCAGATTAGAAAAGCATTTAAGAGATTGGCTTGTTGCCAAATAGTTATCAATCTAATACGCCATTTACAACTCTTTCATCAAAACAAATATCCCCAAGCCAAAGCATCCATTGTAATTTTTAGGGACAGGATCAAAGGCTCAAATCAAAGTACAACGATGGATAAACAAAATTTGCCTCCACCGACGAACATTTCACACAATTGCACATTACAGGCGACTTGTGATGAGCATAAGCCACAAATTCATTTTATTAAGTTAGCAGAGGCCACACAAAAGAACGTTTCTATTTTATATGCATGAAACTTTTGAGGGGGAGGGCCAACAAAATATGCAAACACACTCGGCTCTGACCTTCGTGACAAACACCACAACGACACCTACAACAATTGCGACGGCCATTCAATAAAAATGTAAATTAACTTATCAATTACAACGGCAAACAACAATAAAGTGTGCGCTCGAAGACAAATGTTGGTTGGCAGCTGAGGGGGAAGCCCCAAAACGACTGCTACACGGCCCCATGGCTGGCGCTTTTCGTCCAGTGCCGGGTGACTGTTGCGGGTCGAGTCCGCACCACTTAACGGCTTTCTTATGCAAATAGGCAGCGCTAAAATATTCCTACTCATAATTTTTATTTCCGTTATTCAAGTTTCAAGATTGTATTGCATACTTTTTGGCGTCGCCAGCGCATCCCGTCCGTCTATTGACCGAATTCGTTACTTTTCGCCAAGAGGACGCCGCGCACCCCTAGGCCCAGGCCCAGGCCCAGGCCAGCCTCCACTCCTCTTCCTGTTCTCGTTACAAAATTTGCCTTGCTAATAGGCTGGCAAACGTCTGCCAGGCTGGCCACCTTTGACTGCTCTTTTATTTATTTTTCTTGTGGCGCAAAGAGCATTCTAAGGAGTCGAGGAGCCATACCAACGGTAACTGTAACTGCGACTGGCTTTCCTGGCGATAGCAGTGCGTAGCCGTCATGGCGACGTGACTCCTAAAATGACATAAGTTACGACTGTCAGGGGTGCATTTATTTTAATATGGAGATGATAAGAGGTTGTCTGGTATCTTAATTACATATACTTGTATATATGCGCTGGCAATGATTGCATTGGCAGCTTCAACTTCTACTTCCCAAAAGGATTTAGTAAATGCTGTCCTGAAATTTTGCAAGAGCTTCACAAGTTATGATTTGTAAACTCTTCTTTTTTCTATAAAATTTATATGCAATTTATTATACCAGTATTCTGTTACCAATATGGCAGCTTAAGATGGTTGAAAATTAATGGAGAATACAAGAGTTGTCCACAGTATACATCTATAGGACGCACTTAAATCTATGTATATACATAAATACAATGCAATATTTACAATATTTTTAGATTAAATATAATTTGTAAACTCAGTATGATAATATAATTTCTAGATATGAAATGCTCCCGATTAGCGAGATTATAAGGCGGCAAGCTAACTAAGCCAACACAATCGAACAATTATCCGATCTTGTGCAAGTTTACAGCTATATCTTACCCCTATCTAAGTAAAATCTGCACATAAGGAAGCTCCACTCTAGTCAACAGAATAAGAAACGAGCCAATAATTGAATCATCAACGATGGCTTAGTAGCAATTATTTGAAACAAGGTTACAACCGAGTAGATACTAGTATATCCACACCCAAAGCAGGCGCATTTCCTAAACAAAGACTTTAGCTTAACATGCATGGTACTATACACGTATTCTTGAAAACTTGCACGGCATCATATTTTATATTCACACCATTTGCAGGCGCTTACGAGCACGAGTATCTAGTTTGTGACTAGAATGCATTTTCGACCAAGGCAGACCAATTACGAGCACGACTACTTGTTGCGGTCATCGTTGGACTAGGTTGGGAAGGGAGGAGGGAGGAGGGAATAGGGAGACCAAGTTCAGCTCAAGATGGGAAAGTGGGAAATTATGAATTTTAGAGTGCGAGGTGCTGGCGAGATAAGCATTTGCGTGATTAATGAAATTCAAGGCAGTCGAATGGAGTCGAGTTCAGTTGAGTTGAGTGGTGGGAAACCAACGCGCCTTTCCATAAATAAACAATTATGTGTACACAACGCCAGGGCAGCCATGACTTGGATTTGCGGCAAGCCTTTGTCCAATTGCTCCACAATTGCTGCCATTGTGGGCAACAAATGGGTGCACTGTGGGCGGTGGCCCCCCTCTTTCGAATGCGAATGTTGTCGCCTTATGCGGCCCGACTGCCGACTGCCGACTGCCAACCGCCATCTAATTGGCTTGCTCTCGATAGCCCCGCACACCCCAATTAGAATTCGTAATCGCGCACGCTTTGCCCATTTGAATTTATATCGAAATTTAATTTAATTAATAGTTTCGCCGTTTCCACAATCTATGTGTGTATACTATACCCGTACTAGTATGTGTGTTGGTATGTACATACATATATGTAGGGTGTGTTTGATCGGGAGTGTGCGCTTTCCTCGGTCAGGCCAGGTGTTGTAGCTCGCTTATCGCAGCGGGAAGTGTCAAAAAGTCAAGTCAATAACTGTTTATTTTGTTGGCATATTTCCAATTTGGCAATCTGCACCACGCAACAAGGCTAGTGAGTCAATGTATGCCTACAATGCCTAGTCCTATAAATGGAGAAAATTGAGCTTTTATTTTTGAAAAAATGTATCTATTTTTTGTTCTGCTTTTGATTGGTGTTTTAATATTAATATATCTAATAAATTCACAATATGTATTATAATAAAACTTAATGGGCAAATAGTTGGGCACTGACTGAACCTCCAAAATGGTGACAAATATATGCCTAATTAATACTACATACAAGTATATTGAAAATTGAAAATGTTCTGGGAAAAGCAATTTCCAGCAAAAGAGATCAGCATTTCTGCAGCTAAAGGCATAGGCATGTCTATAGCATATGTGCCTAGCGATTACTGCCGCTTAGCCAAATTGATTCCATGCCACCAATTTCACGACTCGATCAATTTTCTGGCGCATTTCCAGTGGCTCTCTAAAACGCCCACCACAATGCTGCCGTATTTTCCCATCACTTGCCATCAATCAGCATTGGGAATGCAGCGCGAGCTGACCAGGCCCAAGTACAAGGCCTGCACCTCACTTTCCACTTTGAATCTTGTTATGGTGTTGGTGGTGGTGGTGGTGGCGAGGAGGGGGGTGTGCGATAAGGTTGGTGGTGACGGGTGGCGGCGATGCAGGCAGCGGCACTTTGTTGTCTGAGCACTTTTGGTTGTAAAAATTGTTTCGGCATCATTTTTCATATCCGCGGCGCGTTGCGCTTGGCAAACAACTGCCCAACAGAGAAGCCAAAAACAATATCAAGCAAATCAACAGCGTTGCCTTCGCATGGAAATCGAGCACTTCTCGTTGAGAAAACAGCGGGAGCAAGCAGCTGAAATCCAAACCCATAAACCTGATGCGAATGTGAACGGATACGTGATCGCCGTTTTTGCATTGCTTGCCCAGCGCTTTGTTTCTGCGTTTTGCTGCTGTCGAAGAGCCCCTGAACCCACAACTTCCCAGAGCCAAATACTTCGTTGTTTGCTCTGTGCGCATCGCTTGGCTGCTGCGGTGGCTGCCACGTATACAAGTATATATTTCTGTTGCTGTTGCGCGAATTTGTTGCAATTTCTCATTGTCAGCAACGCGCTCGCCGGTAAATTTTGATTAAACGCTCCGCGGGAATTCACTTTACCTGCTCACCGCATTCGCCTTGGACTTGTACTGTTTGGCCAACTTTATGTGGCTCCCGCCGGCCTGACTGTCTGGCTGTCCGACTGCCTGGCCCCGACCCTGGTCGCTGGTGCCTTTCGCCAGCTGGTGGCCAACTCTTTCATTTGAATTTGAATTTGATAAATGGTGCTCGTTGCTCGACGATATGTTATGCAATTTAGGGATTTGTTGGTTTTGTTTGCCACTCGCATAAAGGATGCTATAAACAGTTAAATATTTGTACATTTTGCTTTCAATTAATGAATAGATAAATTACCAATTTGAAAGGCCATCAATTCATCGGCCCCCTTCGTATCTATAGAAAGCGTTTCCCAGCCACAAATGATGTGCGGGCCACTATAAATGCCGTTATACCACACACTAATCATCTGACACCTGACTATATGACAATGTGATAATGCGAGCTCGAAATAAAGTGTTAACGAACTACAAAGATATTGTCTCTTGACTGGGTCTCACAGCAAATCTTTATTATTACTATTTCCGTGTGGTTATAGGCCGCAAACTACTTGTATATACATACTTGGCTCTTTCCGTGGATATTTATCAGATATGACTACAACATTTTAAATATGCAACAGGGATCCAATTTTTTTTAGAAATAAAAAGTATTTTAATGCAAAAGCACTTTCCAAGTTTTATATAGTTGTGTGATCTGACATTATGTCGAAAAGAAGCTTCGCTGTTAAGCTTCAACGCAAAAACTTTTAAACTTCAGGAGTAGTGATTCAAACAAATAACATATGCATGAAAGGACATCAGAAGCCAAACTTTAAAAAATCCTCTACCAGATACAATCAACTTCCGGTTGTAAAATATCTTCTTAAACAACGCAGACTCCATTTTATTCTTTATTCGCTTAATTAATTAATTTAACGTATATAAGACAATTGAGCAACGCTTTTTTTTATCCAAGGGGGAAACGATGAAAACAATTGTATTACAATTAATCAGAATTAAATCTGCACGTCAAGATAACGCGATGCCGTTCGATGTAAACCAATTGCCGCCTTTGTTGTGACAGTGCTCGCTTGTTAATATCCGGGTCAGCTTTAAAGACGTTGTCCAGCTCCACAGTTAACAACTTGATAACTGAAATGCGCGAGAAGAAATAATAAAGGAGAAGAAATGTTTCTTTTTATTCAGATTTTTGGTAGACCGATGGTTCTTTTATTTTTAAGATTCGTCGGACACGTAAATACTTAGTGTAGACGCGATGCAATATTTTCTTATTGGTACTGATCATGCCGTACAACAAGATTGATCTCAGCTTTGCCCTCTTTACCTTCTTATTCTTGATACATTTTCTTCTCTGCATATTGAATATCTGATTTGGGAAGGACATGTCGTGTTCTGGCTTCGGAATTCCTTATCGCTCTGTCCAAAAACCAACTGATATATCAAAAAGAGGGCAGCTAAAACATTAATCATTGCAAATGCTTCTTAGTTAAACAGATTTCACAAAACCACAATCAAGGGGACAATTTTTTGGGAGTAGTGTTAGGAAGGAGGAATTTAATTTGTCAACCTCCTAGTTAGTGTTACCCTATTTTTGTGGCAAGCTTGCTGACACATTTTCATAAGTGCGTCTGGTAACACTCCTTTTCTTCTCAGATTTTCGGACTTTTTACACGCGTCCCTTGCATTGAAAGTAATTTTGGACCATTTAGAAGGTAAGATTGGTTACAACAATAAAAAAATGAAGTGTTTAAGAACGGCGTATGTGTCCCCAGTACCATTAAAAACATGAAAGCTGCCACGAAAAACAAGACTGGCAAATCGAAGCCAAAGCAGGGCAAAGCCAAATCAAATGTAGCGAAGAAATCGTCTGCAACTGATTCTTCAAAGGCAGCGGCTAAGAATAAGAACCCGGACTTGTTGGAACATATGAGCGATGTATTATCTTACTCCTCCGCTACAAGCACTTTGGTAGCACCGGATAGTTTATCCACAGTTACAGCCACCACAACCCCCTCTGCTCTGTCGCCAGCCAAGAAGGCTGCTAAAGCCGCTGGAGCAGGGAAGAAGGACTCAGGCAAGACAACCGCTGCTGCTCCAAAACAAGCGGCTGCTGCCACAGTCGGTGCTCCCAAAAAGCTGAAGGGCGTGAAGAACATTTTGCGCAGCAAGAGCGTGATGAAGAAGAAAACTTGGCAGCGTTTCGTCGTGGACTGTTCTACTGTCGCTGACGATTTCATTCTGGACGTGATCGACTTTGAGAAGTACATGAAGTCGCGCATCAAGGTCAAAAATAAGATCAACAACCTGGGCGAGAACGTAACCTTCGAGCGTTCCAAACAGTCGCTGATCATCAACAGCAGTGTGCACTTCTCGAAGCGCTACTTCAAGTACCTGGCGAAGCGCTATCTGAAGAAGAATAGCCTACGCGACTGGGTGCGTATCGTGTCCACAGGCAAGGAGGGTTTCGAAATGCGCTACTTCAAAATACAAGGTGGCGATGAAGAGAACGAACCTTTCGACTTGAATGCCTAACTGAGGTTAACCAGATAGGTCGCCTAACTACAGTTTCAATTTTTCCAATTGTCGACTTTTGAACTAATCGTGTATTACGTGCTCATTATTTCAATCAATTTTTCAACAGGCAACAGTCAATGCGTTCCATATGGACCAGAAAATACAGAATAGATTCAACGTTGACAGCGACATTGACATTTTCTGTACTCAAGTGTTTTTCTTGTAAAAACTTTGGCTCGTTTTCTTTTGCCATTCTCGCTTTTGTAAATACTTTAAATTGCCTCGTTTTCTCTTGTTCAAATGATTGTTTTCGAAGCTTTTAGCAACTGATTGCCAACTTAATTGCTTCGATGTAGGTCTCTGCGCTATACTATAGCTACATACATATATACGAGTATATGCGAGTATATGCAGGCTTGTGCCCATGGCACAAACGAAAGACTTAAAAGAATTGACAACAAGCCGGGTGCCAGCCGCTTGAGCTGAAGCTGGAGCTGGAGCTCGATCCGTCCGTAGGTGGTCCATAACGAGCTAATGAAATGTGTGTGTTGCTGTTGTTGTTGTTTCTTGTTGTTGCTGTCGTTATTGCTCATGGACAACAAAAACAACACAAATGTGGTGAGTAAGTCTGAATGATGTCAAAAAGACGATGACGGCTCCGGCACTTGTTGAGGCAACTGAGAGAAATCAGAGACATGCAAATTGTATGGTAATTGCTGTCATTGGGCTTGTCAAGGGAGATGGAGAAGTGTTTCTGTTTTGCTCTTGCTGTTGATAATTTGTAAATGTCAAATACAAAAATTTACAATCCTGTCCTTCTGTTAACAAGCCCTGGCACTGTGTTTGTGTACATTACGTGGTCTGTTCAAAGTCAAATTGCGATTGCACTCATAACTTTTTGTGAAGGAGCTTTTATTTGAACTTTAGAATAGGTTGAGTTCAAATTAGTGCGATATTAAATATATAATCACATGTAAGAATTTCAAGTCATGTTTTTGAATTACTTTTTTTTCATTATACATACAGATATACATACTTGAGTAATTCACTATATACATATTCTTAAAATTTGTATTTTTATGATTTTTAAATAACAATATGTTACTTATTACCAAGAAAAAAAAACACTAATTGCCTTTAAAGCTTACTTTGAACAAATCTGATCTTACGGAGAAAATAAGATCTCATATAAATTTAAGAATGAATTTATTATCTGTATATTATTATTAATTTTTTGGCCATGTAAAACACTTTTATTTATGACTGTAGCTACGATGGAAAAGCATTCGTGTTGGCAGGGAAAAAATCTGAAATTCCCCCAATTGGCGTAACGCAGCTGTATTAATTTCGATATCTTCTCTCCGATATCTCGGCACTAGTGAAAAAGTTTGCATTTCATTGCCGACGTTTTTTGTATACCAAAAAGTTATAAAATATTTATTAAATTCGCATTGATTAAGCTTTACGCCGCATATTGGCCATTAAATCGCCCTGTAAGCCAAGTGAATCCAGCTGGATGAGGACTTTGAAGCTAATTAACACATCGCATGGGCGTCGGTGACAGTGTCGCGATTAATTAATGAAGGCAATTAAAAGCGGGCTCGCCAATGTGCAACAAGCTCAGCCACCGACAAGTGCCACTGGTCAGCTATTTTTAGCTCCAAACGATTCTCTGGACTTGATTCGCAATTGTGGTGGTTATGGGCATGCTGTGAGCAAAGCTGCCTTCATTCAAAACCAGTTGAATTCACGACACGCAGCGATGGGCAGCGATGGAGATGGAGCCACCTTGCCCAGTAGACAAACAAATCGCCGGCGCGTGTTGTTGCTCCGCTGTCAATATCTCTTACATTACATTGACCCTGGTCAGTACGGCATGGTGTTGCTGCTGGGATGAAGTACAGCCTCTGTTTTTAGCTTAGACCGGCGCATGAGCGCTTTGTTTTCGGGGCCACCAAGGTAGCTCACTCACATCTCCATCACAGCTCAGCCGACACTTGAATGTCGGCCAACATCATCGGCTGACACTTTTCGCGGCGCATCCACGCCTGTTCATCTGCTCATGCATATCGGGTGGACATACATATGGCAGCGACAGCGACAACGATTCGACGACTTGACAGTTTGCGTCGGCGGCATTGCCAAACAAAGAGGGAAGACCCTGAAGCCAGTCGCTGTCGAGTCTATTGTCACGAGCCTTATTCGTGAAATACTCTTTGTCTTTTAACTGTCAAAGTGCTATAACATCAACATATGTATTTTGCAGATACTCAGCCCATATCTATCGGGATGAATTCTAACTTCCAGTACCAAATCTACACGACCCCAACGTAAGCCCAAAAATGTTCATTGGAGCTTAATTATAAAGATTACGGGGTATATTCTTGCAGTACAATTACAGCTCCAAGGGTACCTGCACGCACTATGGTGGGCATGATTTGTGACCAGGGCATCGTTGTGGCTACCAACTCATGTGGCAATATGATTTACTATATGGATGCCAAAATCTTGTAAGTCTAGCAAAGATCTTATACTCTTGATATGTATAGTCAGTGTCGACTTCGCAGCACCTGCGCCTCCAGCACCGGTTTCGATCAACAAGTGATGCTCGACGTGGGCACAAAGGTGTACAATTCTGCTCACGATAAGAGAAAGGAGGTCACGGTGGGCCAAGTTCTCGATTTAGTATGCAAGCACTACGAACGCTCCAACATTGTCGATGTGGTGTTGGCCGGCGAGGACTCGGAGGGGCTGCATCTGTACTCCATACACGGCCAAGGAACTGCCACCCGTCTACCCTGTGTGACTAGTGGAGCGGGCGCGGTGGTGGCCGCAGAACACCTCGAGAGCAGCTGGAAGATTAACATGAGCTTAGAAGAGGCGGAGCAGCTGGCGCGTGTAGCTATTATGGCTGCCGAAGAAGATGCAAATGACTTGGACCAAATGCCAAAAGTCGAAACCTGCACTATATTGAAAAAATCCGAAGATAATCGAAACAGCAGCCATTTTGAAACAGACGATTATTAAACGATTTATAATTTATATTCTGACCAACACAAATTATTCTTAATAATAAAATGTGTACTTTTTGATTTCGTACTCTTCAGCTCCTTATATGTTTGATTATCAGATTTTATACTCCCAAAATTCACTTGAGATTGCAATACTGTGGATTCAAATTACGTGTTGACGTTGTAAGCATTTCTTCACATTCTAAGAATAGATTACTATACATACTATTATCAGCGGAGTAGGCTCTCCTAAGCCAGTCTAGCTGGAGCAGATGGCGTCGCTAGATGGGTCCATGGACCACGAAGGTAAATGCAAAGTAAGCAAAATGATTTATACGCAAAGGCAGCGTATAATTAATAATGATTAAAAGCGGCGCCCCGGCCCCGATTACCTTCGACGTCGCCGGCCAAATGGATTTTCTTATAAGCAACCTGAAATCCTGGATGTATATATACTTGTATGTATGTACGTGTACTTATGAAGCACTAATCGTGGAAGCATATGGCCAGCTTTGGGACTCGGACAGACGGCTTTCCTACGAAATGAAAAGTGGTAATGTGGTCTTCGAGATCCACTGCGCTGCTCGATGGCGCCTAAATTCTGCTTGTTGCCGCTGCTGGGGCCTCCAGCTGTGCGGATTAACTTGAATTTATATGTTGCATTTGAATATTTCATATTGCTTTTGTGTCCGGGCCAAGTTGGCGCTTGTGCGTGACCAGGTTTCATTTTCATTTGCGTTTCTTGCTGTTGTTTTTTGTTTTTTTTTTTAGTTGTTTTTGTTGTTTTTGTTGCTGTTAATGTTTTCGTTATGGTTGGCCTAGTGTGTGGTCCACTGGCATTGACAGCTCCTGGGTGGTATTATGCTGTCCGCTCTTAATTTCTCGTCATTTTTTGAAATGCTGGACAGACGAGCGAAGATAAACACGCAATTGCTAATTGATTTTTACAAACGCTTATGAGCGAGGGTCCTTGCGGTGTCATAATGACAATCATTTTAATACTTTACATATTCCTTTGGATACGTACAGGGCACGAGTATGAAATGCAATTAAGGCCAATCATGTTAAGGATAACATCTGTGTGCCATCAATTAAATTTATTAGCTAGACCGAGCCATTACTGGTAGGGGGAACCATCAAATAAATACATTTAGATTGGCTTCTTTCTTGCACTTATATTAACATATAAACGTAAATAATAATAACTGATAATTAAACAATATTTAGCTGATTACTTATTTTCTTCTGCAATTAAGTTTTTTTTTTCAAAAATGACAAAACATTACAATACTTCTGATTACAACCTCTGAGTATTGTCAAGTGGCTTGTTATCTTGTTACCCAGGGCAGTATTTATACTAATAAGAACAATCCATAACAAAATCTAAGCAAAACTTTATCAAATTCGTGATTTTAAATTTATGTAACAATTGGTGTTTTTAATTTGTATATAAATTTTACAGCACTACGTTCCGTTAAAATCTTAAGCAGTAATAGTAAAAATGCAACTCTGGTACATTTATTTTACATCCGTGTTGTTCAGCACTAGAAGCTAAAATACAATGTCATCGTCATCTTAGACGTGCAACATTTTGTGGCAGTTAACACGAGTCTAATAAAAGGATCAAGAGACTAAATTGTGTAGTTACAGGTTGGAACATAGTCGTTTTCTACAACAGCAGATTTGGTTGAGATTACTCATTAATTTAGGCGGTAAGTATTTCAAAAATAAAACTCAGCTTACATTTTTCCGTGAAATCAAACGTTTTTTCGTCTTTTTCCATTTGCACAAATATTCAATTATGTACATACATACATATATAAAAATAAAAACTCCGTAACAGGTTAAAAAAAATTTCACCTCAAAACCGTTTCTTCAACCGCTTCTTCCATTTGTGTGCAATAGGAATTTGTTTATCATTATTATGGAAGAATTACCCGTAGGGTAAAATGGTATATTAGGTTAGTGCAAAGTATGTAATATGCAGAAGGAAGCATCTCCGACCCCATAAAGTATATATATTCTGAATCAGCATGACGAGAGAAATCGATCTAGACATGTACGTCCGTCCGTCCGTCTGTCCGTCTGGATGAACGCAAGGATCTCAGAAACTATAAAAGCTAGAATAACAGAAGTTGGCATCCAGATTCTCCTAGGTCCGAGAAAGGACGAGATTATTATTTATTTTTAATTTAAATTAAATTAAATTAATTAATTAATTAAATTAAATTAATTTATTTTTTTGTGGGGTGGTACAGGGTATTTAAGAGTTGAGCCTGCTCGACTTTTGCAGTCCTTTCTTGTTTTTATACACACGTGTTGTGAATTTTTCTGTTTCAGGGTATTACAGACTCAGGCTAAAATTCTTTCTTGTTTTTATTCAACTATAACTCAGCTGATTATTAAGAAATATCCCAGTATTATTACAATTCTTTTTCAGATAACAAACTTACTAATTGTCTTGTTACCAAGGATCTGAATCCAGTTAATTCAATTTATTTTGACAATACGAATCTAGTCGACCATTCTCAAAGGGGTGTCTTCTTTTGGGGTGGGGTCATGGGGTCTAATCCAATATTAAATGCTATTCGCCGTTCTGCGATGGCCAGAATGAATAGGAGAAAACTAGTACCTATCATGGAACCCATTTCTCAAAAACGTGGAAGAGTAAGTATTGATTTTATCTCAAATAAGAATACTAACAAATTTATTCACAGGGCAGACCGCGCAAGAACCCACACGTCGAGAAAACAAAACGAGACATAGGGCGACCTCGCAAAAATATTGGGACCATCAATCAAGCGAATAGTAAGGATATTGCCATTCCCATTTAAAATTAAATTTCCCATCTAAGAGATCCTAACTTTAGCTCATACTGATTACTTAATATTATTAACAATTTACACATTAATATGGTTTTCTCAGTTGCTCCAGATGTCAACGTTAAGTGCTTGTCCACAAAGAGCGTAAGTCCAGGAAGATATCACGAATATTCTGAGTGCCTCGACCACAAGTGTAAGTAAAGTTAATATTAAATGTTATTAATAATATGTAATTATATGTATTTTAACCATAGCTGCTGTAGATAAAAATGACTTTAGCCCGGCAACCTCAAAAGTGAGCTTGGAAAGAGTACCCAAAAGCTTAAATTGTAATTAAAAATAATATTTGCTTAAAAATGTATATTAAATTGAATTTCCGTTGTTATCACAGGTAATTCAATCTCTTCCCCCCCGAAGATAAAGCGATCACATATGGGTAAAATAATTTCTGCATTTCAATATCAAGGTGATCCAGATAGCAATGTCATAGAACCGCTGACCGAAAAGTGGAATCAAGACAGATTGCCTCAAAATTTGGAATTTTCCAATGAAAGGAATCGTAAGTAGATCTCATACCTACTAATAATAGTCGGTCATCTCAATAGATAGGCCTCTGAATACGCCGATCAATCTAGGTATATGGTTCATAATTCCAAATAGACATTAAAATACGATTAAAGGTATACAATAGCTATATTTCTTCAATATGATTAATTAATAAATGGCCACGCTTACAGAAGCTCAAATTTTAAGTAAAGCTCATGTCCATTATAAAATATAACGTTAACTTTAAAGAAATGTAGACTTATTTAGAAATAAATGACAACCTCAGAGTCCCAAAAGTGAGCTTCAAAAGAGCGCCCAAAATATTAAATTTTAATTAAATATTTGTTTATAAATGTTTAGCAACGTAAATCTTCGTTGTAATCACAGTTATACCTGTTTAGAAAACCACAAAAGAGATATTGATAAGATTGCCCAAAAGAGTTAGTTGAAATTAAAGAATATATGCTTATACTATAAATGCATACTATATTAAAGTTTTGTTGTTATCACAGTTAATTCAAGCTGTTCTTCCCCGAAAATCAAACGAGGCAGGGATCAACCTCATAAAAATATTCAGACAGACAAACAGAGTAAGTGCATTTCATACCGATCACATATGGGTAAGATAACTTCTTCATTTAAATGTCAAGATGCCTCAGATAGGGATTTCAAAAAACCGCTGACCCAGAATTTAATTCGAGTCAGATCGCCTAATAATTTGGAAATCTCAAATAACACTAACCGTAAGTAAATCTCATAAAAGAGTACGTTTAACTTATTGAATTATAATTACAGGGTATTATGTCGGTATGCAAACATTGAATATCCTTGAAAATAAACAACCGATTTTCAAGTATGAGATATTTTTATTTAATTTGGTTCTGTACAATTTCTTGAACTGAGGTTTTCAACACTGGTCTACTCAAGGCAATCGGTTCACTAATGACAAAGTTATTCAATATCTACATACCGACATAAAAGATGGCGCACCCTGTATATATATTTCTTAAATATGTTTAATAAATTAGTGGTCACGCACACATAAGCTCAAATTTTAAGAAAAAAAAAAATCCCATTAAGTTTTATTGTTTGTTTACTCAAAAAATAGTAGACAACACTTAGATATACTCACCCCAAATTAAATTTAGACCTTTCTTTAAAAAATGCTAACTTTAAGTTTGATTTTTATCAAAAGTTTCACCAAGTATTCCTGTTGTAGAGCAATGGATACAGGGTATAAACCGAGGTAGGTGGAGTTGTAAGTCCATCCCATACTTGGTTTATATCGGTATAATAATTCTATGCACGTAATTCCAGGTGTTTCAGATGTAGACTCTGGACCTCCGCTAAGCCCGAAAATAAACTCGTTTAAATCGCCTCAACGCTTTGGTGAAACAAAGTGTAAGTTAAAGATAATATGTTTATATCACAGTCCATATTTAAATCAAAAATTTCCTTGCCTTTATTTCGTTAGCAAAAGGTTGTTCAAGCTTAAAAGCGACGAGTCCTGTTACCCAGAACGTTACTGAGATCCGTCCGGCACCAAGTATCGATGAAACGGTTTGTAAGTAGGTGCCATGCTCAGATATATTGAAATTCAGATTGTATTTAATTCTAGTAGACGGAAAGAAGGGCTTTGTTCGAGGATTGAAACCTTCGCATATTATAGGAGGACTTATGCGCAACGATAAATTGCATTTAATGATCCAATTTGAAAACGACAACCACTTGGAGATTTTACCAGCCGAAGTGCTTAAAATGCATGCTCCACGCATGCTTCTTGATTACTATTCATCTCACTACAGACTTAATTAATTAAAGGGACCTGTTATTATAAGAACAGAGCTCTCAAATATCGGATGGGGACCGAACTAACAATGCATCGTCTTCATATAATTGTATGTCAAAAGCGTTGGCCATAAAGCTATCGATAGCTACCGTCGATAGCGATTACTTATAGGCTACAGCGGCCAATGCTAGACTGCGCAAGCTTTCTGTCAGCGTTGCCACTTCTGAAATAAGCAACAGAATCTCTATATAGACACGACGAACTACATATGTATACGTACATACACATATGTATTTAGTTTTTTGGTAATATACATACATTCGAATTCGTTGTTATCAATAGAGCTAAAAATGCATACATATGTAAATATATGTATGTACATACACATTGTAAGGTTAATAAACATTCGTATTCCTTTTTATCAATAGAGCTGTAAATCCGGCTGTTTATCTTTTGTTTGTTAAATACATCAACATTGAAATTTTAAAATGAGAGAAATACAAAGAAAAACAATACGGATTCGATTGTCTTTTTCGGTTGCTTAGCTCAGTTGTAAGCAAAAGAGTGATTTTTCCTTATTAGATGTAATTGATAGTACATGTAATTAATAGTATTTGGCTGCGATACAAGCATTATTATAGCCGTCATATCTGTTAGCTTGTTTTTAATCGGACTGATTTCTGTAATATACCCACTATACTCTATACATGCAAGATGTAGAGGGCTATCTGTTTGTCTTAGCTCTTTGGAAGGCCTACTTCTAACAAAGCAACTAAAACAAATCAAAGGCCAATTAAACGGGAGAGGAAAATGATGGCTTCTTGCATCAGAATATATGTCTAGCTAGTTTGCGAGATCTTGAGATGGAAGTCGATGCTCGCGTTCTATACCCACCCAACCATGGAGCTCCAATGCGAGTATTGTTTATGGAGTTCCCCTATAGTAAATGTTCTAGCTACTTGTATGTCCCCATGTCACCAGAAAAAATAAAACTTTATCAATTCATTTTAAACAGAATTTAATAATAGGCATGAGTTATTATAAAGATAAACATTTGCGAGAAATTATATTTCTAGTGGCATGATAATTCAAATGAAAGTGCAAACATAATAGTCGTTTATAAGTTCATGTTCAGTATAAGTATACAAAATTAAAAACAAGTAGTTATTTATATTATTCACTAGCATATAATTAAAAGTAAATAAGTTTAATATTTTAGTATCAAACAAAATAAAAAATTAATGGTGAAATCAGAAAGTGTGTGTGCGAGTAATGTTATTTATTTTCATGTTATTCTTTATGCATTAAAGTAACGTCGATTCAAAATTTAGCTACCCGAATCAGCAGCAGTTTATTTAATGGCACTTAAATGAAAAAAAAAAAAAAAAAAACAAAACTAAACTAAAAGCTCACATGAGTGATAGTGAGGCAGGTCAGTGCTGCAGATCAGCGCATTCTTTGCGGGTTCATTGACCTCCGCATTTTAAATTATTGGTCACATGTTCTCTCAAAGGCATATTAGTATAAGAAAAAAAGTTAGTATCAGACTAAAGAAAATTGACATGCGATAACTGCCGAGAGTTTACTTCGGTTTAAGCTTTTATGCACTGATCTTGGGCACGAAAAAAAACAACAGCAAAAAAAATTATACAGACTTAAATGCACATGTCTGCTAAAAAAAAACTGTACCTATTGGTACATATATGTAAGTATATGCACTATATTGGGTTTTAAGGCATTTCCCTTTCTATGCACTGTACAAACACTCTCTTCAATTTTGAAACTGATTTTCAAACTTAGACACTATATAGGCTCTTTTTGTGAGCAGTAGCACATTTTATTTAGTTAACGCTGAGGTGGTGGTGGCGGCAATGGGTTCTACGGCAGAGGGAAGTCGGCGGTGGTCAGGTTGGGCTAATGACGTTTCGACACCCAGAGCAAAAAGATATATCCCGCATGTTCGCAAGCTCCTTTTTGGAAGACGGACTTGTAGCGTACGGCAATTCACTTTGCCGATTGGAACCAAATGTTTCGTCCAAGTGTAGACAACGACTGCGGTTTGAATTCCGCCGGGAAATAACCCTTATGTCGAAGTTATTTGATTCGGCTGCACCCAATACAGCTGCGACAAGGTATTAGTCGCAAATCTAGTGACGGATGCGCACCGATTACTTAGCAGCACCCTTAATAGGCAGTTGCCCACAGGCGGAAAATGCCATAAAGATTGGGGGGTCTTCAAATCGTCTCCAGCCGCACGGATTTCCTCTCGATGAAGGTCCAGGTTAACATGGACAAAATCTTTGGGTTCGAGAGTGTCACGCCGTTTTCCTTTTTGGGCCAGTGAATAACGCCCAAAACACGTGTCAGGCGGAGCTGACGGACATGGCTACTTTGTAGAACTTGGCCATCCAAAAGTTAATGAACAAAAGAGAGCGATTTTAGCAAGATCAGGCCTTTTATAACACCTAATTCCAGGGAATTACTGAACTGCGTAAAGTTAGATGCACTTTACATTCCAGTCAATTTCAGAGTTGTACTAACTAAAGCTTTCGTAGTACTACAGCTGATAGGGACCAACTTGAAGCTTTGGGACCAACTTTAACCCTTTTTAACGCAAGCGCCAATTTTGTAGCACCGAGCTGCGATAAAAGTAAAATTAATTTAATTTTAATGCAGGCGAGCATTACATTTCTAGGGGCATATCGACGCCAAAAGCAGCACCATCGGATTGTACACTTATACTTGTGATAATTGAATTTGAGAGACCTGATATAAAAAGCTGGTGGAAGAGTTTTTTTATCGATGGCTATAAATTATATATGATAGAATTGTTCAACATTTGACCTCTTTGGCGAAAGAGTCGTATAAATTATTGCTGGGCGTTACATACACATACAGGCTTAATACATTATGCGCATCATATTTGGTTTCCACAATCAGCTTTGCACAGTTAACGTCTTATTAAGCTGTAATATCACCTTGGCCCGCAAATAAATCCACCTCGTACATGCAATATATTTCGTTCTGTTGGCGCTCATCCTCCATTAGCCTTACCAACATCAGCGGAGTGTGAAGTAAGTACCTGGGAAGATAAATTTTCATGTTGTCACACCTGTGTCTCGCATGCGCATAAATTTTTTTCGGCTGTATGTTCGCTGCTGCCTCGGTGCCACCGGAACATTTTTGTCGAAATAAGATATCAAAGGGCCGCGCAGTCTTGATTTCACATTCAGCTGCAGTTGGTGCACTGCCTCCCCCAGCAACCAGCGCCCTCTTCACCGTTGCAACACCAGTACATCGGGCGGTGAAGTGAAATACTTGTATTATTGAAAGCCTCATCCAGCAGTGCGCGAGGAGTGAAACATCTGCAAGTTCTCGGAATTCGTGTCCGTATCGTTCAGCTTCTGCATTCATTGCCGTGTATTTGATTTTTGATTTTTACTTTTGCCACTCGAATATCTTGCTGTTATCGCTATCTCATTGGCAATTCGGGTGCGTGCTGGAGAATATACATAAATATTTGCTTATTTATTTTCAAAATAAAACAACACCCAGCGCATGCAACTGAACTTCAGTTTTTTGTAAGTTTACGTTTTTAAGCCTGGGCTTGTACGAGGGTTGTCTTTTACATTTCGAGTAATATAATAAGAACAAAGATAGTACATCAGGAAACAGTTTTAAAGTATTTCATGCTTTACTTCCTATTTTTAGAAGCGCATTTTTTCCTAAAAGTCTTCTGCTTGAGTCTGTCTTTGGCGGCTGACAGTCTCCGTAAATTCTTAAAACCAAGAAGAAAGAACACTGTTTTCGAACAGCAGGTATTGAATGGTCTTGTTAGACGACTAATTTTTGAAGGCTGCCACTGGTCCTGGAATTTCCATATTGTCTAGTGCAGTCTTGCTTTAGGCATTAAAACAATATGCCAGTATTTCACCAAGTTTCTAGAGCACCAAACGATAAGAGACTATTTTTGAACTACAGAGAAATTATCGTCCTGCGTGCGGATGCCTCAGATTAATGTTGTAGTTAAATCTGACAACATTAGAATTACACATTCTCGAAATTTAAATGTCAACCAGTAAGTACATATGTATGTAGAATGCATAATTTATTCTTTAATGCCCGTTAACCAAATACGCGTTCGAAATGTTGAAGGAATTGTCGAAACAGTACCGCACATCTACAAAAAGCATGCATAATTATTCATGCATAGAACAAAATCGAAATATGTAGTTTTTAATGTGGCTTATCAATTTAATGAAATTGGACATGCAACATAAAGTAATTTATTTTTAATTAATTTATAAATGCAGCGACATCAGAAATGAAAGCTGACAAAAAGCAAAAGCAAAGCATTAAACAGCCCCCTCCCACCGCTCCAGCTTCAGTTTCAGCCACAACAAAAGCAACAAATCCACACACACACACACACACACACACATACACATACACAAACACATCCATACGCTCATCCTGTCGCAACTGCAGCGAATTAAGCCTCGACCATTTTTATTTATACAAGCGGCGCGAAGTGTCGCTGACAAGCGTGTCATCAGCACTTTGATGCAGCAATGTCGCCCAGTCTGTGCTACAAATGACTAAAAAGGCAGCAACAGCAGCAGCAGCGGGCACAACAACAGCAACAACAACAGCAACAAAAACGACGGCCGCTGGCGTAAAAGCTTGCAACGCACGAGCTGCGCCACAATTTCATTAAAATTTACTGCACGCTGCAAAAATTGTTGCGGTCAATTAACGTCAACAGCCGCCGCTGGCTCCGCTGCCTCCGCTGCAACCGCCGCCGCCGATGCTGTTGCATGCAAAGCGCCACCATCAGTGGCTGCCAGCAAAAACAGGGACCCCGAACACCTCTGTAGCCTCATACTGTAGTCATACTTGGTTTGCTCATTAACAACTCGCTTGGCCACATTTTGTTTATTGTAGCTGCACGAATAAATAAATAAATTTCATTGACATACGCTTTAATAAATAATAGAGCGTGTTTTAAGTTATTGCTTTCGGTGGCCGTTGGGGATGCGTGCAAACTTTTCACACATCCCCATCGTTGGCAAAGAACCAAGACGCGCCGCACGTGAATTATGATCGGGACTACCACACAGCCATAACAAACTGTTGAGGCAACGCTGATAATTTGTAATTCGGCCGAACA